ATGTCTCAATTTGAAGCAATTTAGAAGCAAGCATAGTTGTCATCTTGAAGTCAACACAAAAAGTGTTTTTTGGCAATTCAGAGTTTTTCGAAGCCTAGCAATGCAGTTAGTTAGTTCGTCTGATTTGGCCTATCACTGGTCTTTCAATTTTATGACGAGTGAATGGAACACATGCGATTATCCCATTATTGTCGACTATGCACAGTTCCATCTAAAAGTGGCAGGAAATAATTTTTTGTAAGAATTGTTAAGAGAATTTGATGAACGATTCAGTTTGGTCGTTGTCTGCCTACATGTTTGGAGGGAACGTTTACCATGCTTCTTTGATTTTCTTTGGTGGGTGGGAAGAGGGGGGAGGGGGGTATAATGAGTCTGTTCATCACCTAATTTTATCACTATTTCTGCAACTATAAACTTTAGCGAATATTGTGATTCTTAATGAACGAATTCATTGAAGTGATCATCAGTTGATCATCATTGAAGTGATCAGATCATCAGTTCTTGTGGCTGCTAGTGATCGATAAAGATTATTGATCATTAATTATTGATGATAGTGATTGTGTCGGTGACGGTGTTGATTGAGATGACGAGCGAGAGACTTGCATCGATTCGTACGATTCGATTGCTTTGTAAACGAAAGAATAATCTTTTCATAAAAGTATTATCGCTAAGCACAACACAACCGGTTCGCGANATCATCACCCTTACGCACAATTCCTTTCTTGCGTCCTCAGTTCATTTCCTCGTTGTTCAATCAATTTTCATCACTAATCTATCATTGAAAAGGTCATCGATCACCTTTAAATTCATTCTTACCTTTGAGATTGTAATCACTAAATTCCTCGGGGATTCTTCTTGCGGGTGACTTTGAGGATTTTTTGAGCACGTTTTGAATTCTTTACTCATTAAAAGAAGTCGAATGATAAATCAACCCCGGTATGGAGGAAGTTTGACGCCAACTCAATGAAACTTTCACTCATATGGCATTTGCCACGAATGTTATTTGAATTCATTTACTGACGTTTATAAAACGCTTCCATAATGGGTCAAGCGTTTTCGCTGAATACTGAAGTGAGAGTGTGAAAGGTTTCAGTTTATTTGAATGAAAAAAAATGAATGGAATGGTGAGAATCGTTTTGCTGTGCTCTTATTAGTGATATCAGTGAGTGTGTGTTAGTGTGATTGTTTGAATTGATCAACTGCTAATCTGGATAATCTTAATCCGTAATGCCGTTCGCTAATCATGTTATTATAAGTATTCGAAACGTATGGCTTTTTTAAATTCATGCTTACGATGCATGGCTAAAACGTTCGATACTTTCAGCCATATTATCACTACTATTGATAACTGCTATCAACATCGCATTCTCATCCTTATCACATAATCTAATCAGTCTGCTGATAATCATTATCACCAACATCACTGTCTTCCAAAATATCCATTTTTGGAAGCCATCTGCTGGTGGTACTTTCTTAATTTTCAATTAGCGCAGCATAGTAACATAACCAACCGACCAATTGCGAGCAAGTTATCGTGTTTACGTGATACTTTATTCGATTATTCTGCGAGTGACCTACTGATTAATTCGCTGTATATTCATATTCTCCTCAAAATTCAGTTGTTATTTTTTGATCAGTGCTGACAGATCTTTTCAACTAGCGCGAGCAATTCTCTCTTATCCACCGTTAATCCTACCATCAGATATTAATTGCGATCATCTGAAACGATATTCACTTGTTTTGTCTGGATAATTTTCTGCAGTAATACATATCCATCAGTGGCATTGAAGAAGTTTTCTTCTGCGATACACTCATTGTTTCGATAAGCAGTGGTGTAGTGACTGAGTAATTAAAACGCGAAATGTCCGCAAGGCTGGCAAGAAACGCAGAGCTGGAGAGTGAGCAATTTGTGGGGTACGGAAAAGAGACACTGCGAAACGAGTTGCATAAGGCGAGACCAAAAATTGTTATTTTCGATGCGAATGAAACTGATAACGATCTCGGGGATGACAAGAATGCAAGCGAAGGCAGTGCCGATGGCGATAACGACGATAGCAACAGTTACAAGAACAACGATAACATCTACATCAATCAGAACGACAACAGTGCTAATTCCGGTGAAAATAACCGCAGAAATAGCACCAATAAGAACCGCAACGATACCGGCAATAATAATGATCATGACAATGATATGGCGCATGATGCGAGTAAAGAGGAGCGTTGCACCTCACCGGCCAAATGGACAAAACTCCTCTCGAAGTCAATCCATCGCCGAAGTGGTTCATTTCTGAATAATCTGATGATTTTTCGCAAAGGTGATGGTCAATTGTCACATGTTAAGAACGCATGTGACACATCGAATCAGTCGTCTCCGCTACAAACACCGAAACAACGCAGACGAGCAAGTGCCACGGCTGCAGTGTGCCTCTCAACGGGCACCACTGCAACTGCAAACGCCTCAGACACCCCATCAAATTCTCCGTCCCGTTCGCCAGCATCAAAGAAAGATTCAGCGCATAATTTTTACGCAACGCTCAAATCGAATTTTCAGAATCGGCGCAGAAGTGCGGATCGCATCTATTCGGTCAACAATGCTGTTGCTACTAATAGCACTGCATCGTCTGCAGCAGCAAATGCAACCAATTCAAAGGCAAAGTCAAATACGAAATCAAATAAGGTTTGCGAATTTCATTTTCTTAAATGTTCGATTCTTTGCTTCATTTTATTCTCTTAAGGGTTTTTTTTTACATTATTTGGATCGATTTGCGTCTCGTAAAATTAAATTTGATGTTGGTTAACTGCTATTTTCTTTGAATATAGTGCAACATTGATCAAAGTTCATTCGATTTGTGAATTTTGTTCATTAAGTTTATCAATTTTTTTCTTCACTCATTCGTTCGTATCGTGCTTTGCCTCAATTTTATCTTGTGGCTGTTAGCAAGCAGCATTTCCTTTCTGATTGTACAATGGAATTTTCTTCGAATTAAACCAGCGCATCGCCTTTCCTGTTAGTTCTTTAAGGCGATTGGCTTAAGATTCGTGTAGAACTTTCGGTTTCGAATGATGATTATGGGTGTGCGCACTGGCGCAATACATGTCGCGTGATCGTTTTGAGCCGATAGATCAAATTCTTGATAGGCACCAAGAGTATAAACAATCCACAAATAAGTTTGTGTCCTTCTAACAAACCATAGCGCTGAAGAAGCAGTGCATGCATAAATCATTGCCTATTATTTTCATAGAACATTTTAAAATTTGAGGACCACC